ACTTCTTCCCCTAACATCAACTTAAAGTCACATATCCAGGAGTCTGTAAAATGGAAACAAGAATTTTGAAATGCATTTGAATTGGGATTAAAGGTGGAAAAGAAAGGACAGTATCTACACACAAGCTAAGTGAAAACCCAAACACGTGGCCCAGTGTCTCAAAATGAGAATGAGCATTAGCATATTAATTAGCTTCTTCTTGGCAATCCTGACCCAAGGCCAAAGCAAAACCTTTGTTCAAGATGAGGAGCATCATCTTGAAAACTGTGTTTCTTGGCATCGGTATATGCAGAATATTTGTGAGAATTTAAGTATATAATGTCTCTGCCACATTGCTAAACGACAGAGCTATGAAGCAGGCAGAATTTCATGAAACACGTACATACATACATATCTGAAAATAACCATCAGCTAGATGCCATGATGGTTTTTTGGATAATTTCATGGTTTGCAAAGTTACCTTAGAGAAAATCATCCCAGTGCTGTGTAAGCTCCACATGTTTTCCTAGGCTGAAGGCAGAAGCCTTATTTCATAGTGAGGGCTCAATAAATATTTGGTGAAGGAACACATGAGGGTTAAGAAGGCCCCTAGCTGTCTGTTTGGACCAACTTCTAAGCAGCTTAGCCCCCTTTCCTCTTCTGTCTGCACAAGGAATTGAAAGGAAACTGGGGGCTGCCATGCACTGACCAGACAACAGGTATTTGCTCTTCAAGTAAAGGGTTTTAAAACTTGTGTCAAAAAGTTTTGTTTTGTAAACACTTGCAAGGAGGGGGTCAATATGATGAAAAGCAAAAAGTTATCTTTATTATCCATCATGGTATAAAACTATAGAATTCAAACTTGGTACAAATCTGACATGTTATTTTCCTTCTTTTCGTGTGTGTGTGTGTGTGTGTGTGTGTGTGTGTGTGTGTGGTCCCATGTACATGCATATATGTGCACATGCATGTGGAGGCCTGAGACACTGGATGTCTCCCTTGATTGTCCTCAACCTTGTTCATTGAGGCAGTGTCTCTCAATGGAATCCTCGTCTCCATGGAAACATGGATGGACCACACCCCACCCGCATTTATATGGCTTCTGGAGA